GGAACGGTCCGCGATGACCTATGAAAATGCAAAAGGTTGTGTGGGAGGTTAGCGCGGTCCGCGGTGGACAACCTTGTGCCAGTTTTGCGGCGGAAAGTTGTAAGGTAAAGGAGTTATGACGCAAAGTTGCCTCAGTGACACCTCCCTTTTTCCAGTGACTCCGCCTCCAGACTCCGCCTTCAAAGCCCGCCTTCCAGCCAAAAGCGATGCTACCGCACAAGTAGCATGAAAGGGAGATGCTCCATAGTCTCTTGCGGAGTCATAGGGCCTATTAGGAAGAATGAACCGACTGGATGCGATTCAACACGCAGTCTTTCGGCCTTTTACCCGCGTGTCTGAGATAGGAATGGTCCTATTAGGGGCATTCCCGACGTCCTTTTGGCAGTTCCTTTTTAAAGACGGATGAATTGACGAGTCGTCTTCTATACACCATTGAATAAGCTCCTCATCGCTTACCGTGCCTTTAATTGGTGATGTCATTTACGGCTCGCAATGTGCTGCTATATGTAGGGCTCGCATGCGTATTGTAATCAGTGGAATGCTGAGCTAGAGCGTAGCTATGGAATTGAGCAAAAATCAAGCAGGTATCGAAACACTCTGGGGACTTTGAGAATGGCACTCTTATAGAACTGAATTCTTAAGGTTGACAGGATAGTGAAGGGCAAGTCCCAACGAGTGGAACCTCTTACTTGCAGGTAGTCTTCCGAAACTGTCAGAAGCTGTCCTTTTCTTGCAGCACTACATGGAGTAATAAGAGCAGGGCAGTGTGATCGTTATGAGCCGAAGGAGCGCTACCTGTGATAGAAGTTGCCCTGGCCACCTAAACAGGAGATATGGCTTCCGTTTTGAAAACCTGTAAGCACAGTGTGAAGCGCTAAATTACGTTCCTGTTATCCACTGTTTTGGTTGGCTAGCCTGTACAACAGCATGTGTCGTTCCATTCAATTCTGGAGTCTCGCTTGAGGCCTCTTCAACGGTTTGTCCGCGCTTCGGTGAAAGAATAAAATTACGTTTGGGCTCTACTAACAATGAATCATTGTGAGACTGCCCTCGCAGAACCTCACGAAATTACCTCTTTTTGCTCCCTTTAAACACATTCAATCTATGAGCCTATTCGCATTATCACACCATCTGTCTTCAAGGGCAGGGTATCTCGATTTTTTTCGGACTTCTGAACGAAATTTCTGATCACTCCGCTTAACACAGTAAGGGTGTGTTCACTTTTCACTGCTCGAGCGCTTCAGTCGCTCACGCTCGAGTCGACAACGACAGAGGGCGCCCCACGGCTGGAACCGCTGCAACACCTATCTCGGATACATCTGTAATATAGACCTTTGACCACTTCTTTATTGCTCGAGCGCGATTCCCAGAAAGGGCAAGTTTCATCTGTTGACAAACCGTTGCAGCGCCGTCCACCGCATTGCGTTAATAGAGCGTCGCTCGAGGCGAATAATTGCTCAAAGAAAGATCGTACACTCATCTCCAGGGACGGATCTTGCCATGTGCTGGAACGACGCTGCAGCGGCATAATACTTCCATTTTTCGAAAGCTTGCGGGATCGAGGCTAAAAAGTAGCGATATATCGTATGGAACTCTGGTGGAGCTAACCATACGTGCAGCGCTGGACACGTTAGGCTGCGTTTATACTTTGCGGCAGCGTAGCGTAGCGTAGCGCAGCGTAGCGTAGCGCTTCCAGCGTACGCCAGCGGCAGTGCCGAAGAGAGGATGCATATCGATCTAGCTTCACCAGCGTCACCAGCGGCACGCTGGCGTACGCTAGCGGCACGCTAGCGTACGCCAGCGTTTCTCCAGCGTTTCACCAGCGTTTTGCTAGCGCTTGCAGCGGCAGGGGAGTAGAGACTATGGGAGAGCTGGAGGGTACAAAACTCATCGATTGCGCGTCTCCCACTCGCCCTTAGTCTCTACAATGCACATCGCGTCTGCGTCTCCGACGGCCCCATAGTCTCTACGATGCACATTGCTTCTGCGTCTCCGACGCCACATAGTCTCTACAATGCACATCGCTTCTGCGTCTCCGACGGCCATATGGTCTCTACAATACACGTCGATTCCGCTTCTCTCACGGCCACATAGTCTCTACTCCCCTGCCGCTGCAAGCGCTAGCAAAACGCTGGTGAAACGCTGGAGAAACGCTGGCGTACGCTAGCGTACGCCAGCGTGCGCTGGTGCACGCTGGTGAAGCTAGATCGATATGCATCCTCTCTTCGGCACTGCCGCTGGCGTACGCTGGAAGCGCTACGCTACGCTGCGCTACGCTACGCTACGCTGCCGCAAAGTATAAACGCAGCCTTAGTGTGGCGGTTCGCCGAGCGTGCGCGTCGGCAACATGTCACCCATGTATGACTCACCCGAATTCGCCCTGTCCGTTGCTTGCCCGGTAGAGTGGTTACGTGCACCCGTTCACCTCGTGCCTGGCAAGGCACCAATCCTTGGAGGTTTTTCGTTTGAGTAATTGAGTAACTCCAGTTACCTAATATGTGATAGCCCTGTGACAGGTATGGGAGGGCTGAGAATATGTCAGAGGCCAAGATTCACCACCGGCACCACGCGCGTGATGAATGGATCAGGAGGAAAATCCTCCTGAGTTTCGCAAGAGAAAAGTTCCTTTTTTGACCCACCAAGAAGTGTCCAACTTGGTCCAAGGCTAACATTCTGGGTTTGCGTGCGACTCAGCGAAGACCTCCGACTCTCTTTATCTGAGTACGTTGGCCAACAAGGCCACATATTCTTGGATTTACTCAGTAGTCAGAGTCGTAGCTTGCCCCTCAATGTGGAGCTCTTTTGAGTTGCAGCAGTGCGCGTCTGTATTTGTGAATATACACCCCTTATCCCTGAAACAGAGCAGGCGTGGCATTTCAACATGGCACGGAATAGGTTATTCGTTCGATATTTCAGTTCGAGACAGCTGTCATCTTGTTCAGTGCTGGACTGACACGATCACAATTGTGTAAAAATGAAAATCTCCTCAGATGCACAGCCACGCCAGCGTTTCAGTTCAAGTACGCAGCCACGCCCACCCCGTCTTAATGATTTTGCGTGTATGTAGTGTCGGGTGGGGGAACTGATCTGCTGCATCTGGATGACCTTTGCAGTAGTATACATTGGTTCGCTTTCTTGAAAGTGTTTCGGAATCCTGTGTCGCTTTATAACAAATATCCAGATCTGAAAAACATGTTCAGATCCAAATAAAACATGAATAGAGAGACGCCCCTTATTTTCATCCTTGTTTCAGCCACCGCTTTCAAAATATGTGGAAGCCTTGGGATTAGTACTGTTCAACCAGTTTGTGACAGCAGTGATCGTTTCGGCTCTGTTCCACTACCCCATGAAATTCACAGGTAGGGACTCTATTTTTCGCAGCGCAGTTTCGTTAAATGTTCGCCGTCAAACATCTTTTCTAGGTGCATCCTTTGACAAAAAGCTTCCAGATGTCACTACTGTGTTAGCACAGATAGTGTTTTGCGTTTTCATTGAAGAAATTGGTTTTTATTATTCCCACAGGTTGGTTTAAAAGTATAGATTAAAGCAGAGTACACGTACAGTTGGCCTTAACTAATGGATAATCACCTGCCCTTCTCACTGCCTATTTTGGTGCTGAAAAAGTTAAGCCGCCTCATGTCTTCGCCCATTCTTCCCACATCCTTAACGACACTTGCCGCGATTAAGTGATCAGTGAAATGCCTCCGTGCATTTGGCATCGTTGTCCGCACTCGCAGAGAATATATACTTTCGTCACTCGAAATGGCGAGATAACGAAGCTAGAGACGCGTGAGTTTTGCAACCGGTGCAACCGCGTACTGTAACTCTGCAAGGCAGCGGCTTGAATGGCGTGTGTACATAGCGTTGCCTGGAGCGTCGTGGAGCGATTTTCTATGCCTCGCCGTCAATGGGTTTCACGTTGAACCCTCGACGCTGATTGGGTTTGCCGACGTCTGACAAATTCGTCCAAGGCGCTCACTGCTAAGGGGGAGGTCGCTGTTTAGTTCCCAACCTTTTTTTTCGCTTCTTTCTGTACTGAAGAGTTTTTGATGGGCTTCTGGCTCGTGATTGAAAGCCTGCTACCTGCTTCATTGATCGCGGGAACTGTTCGCCTCCAGCACCCAAGTGAAAATGATTTTTATGTTCAGGAGTCAATCTGACTCTGAGGACAAGTTGCAACGAATTTTGTGATTCGAGGTGCTTTGGCCTCTGGCGAGGGCGCCCCTGACGCTACGACATCCAAGTTCAAGGTTTGATCTGCCCCCGTGGGCCAATTTTGAGCCAAACTTACTTTTGGAGGATAAACTGTGTCTAACATTGGGCTGATTCTCAAGAAGGGGGAGAGGGCTGTAAAGGGTAATACCTTGATCGGTCAGTCCCACGCTAACAGATGTTGAGCAAACTTTTTAGGCACAATGTGAGCTGGAAGAAACTTATTGCAGCAAGTGATTTTCAGTTCGACTAGTCCCTTTTGGGATGGGGCGCCACGCCTTTCCGCTTCCGTTCAGAATCGTAGCACATTGGCATGCGATTCCGCCTATGCTTTCACACAAATCTTTTAGGCTTTTTCACCATCCTAAACTGTACAAGCATATACACAAAATCCATCATGAATGGACAGCACCTGTTTGTGAGTTGCTTTGAAAGCCCTATTCCTTCTACTGACAAGTTTCAATCACAATAACAATGCTTTAGCAATTACAGATCTACTGCCATCCCATCGAACACGCTTTTTCAAATTTAACGCCGGTACTTCTAGGTGAGTTCTAGCTAATTTCAGCTCTATTCAGCCAACTATTACTGCCTCGAAGTACTGCTAAAAATTTTTTTTTTCGCTGGAGCATTGTCTATAGTGGCTACCTGGTGCTATGATAGCAAAATGGCATTTTAGTTTTAGCGTCGCCGCCATTTGGCGCTACCGCTTGTTTTACCAGAATCGGTATAAAATTGCATGATGGGGTCACTCGGCGCCATGATTACGGTTACAGTATTCATGAATGACTCCAGCCCCCTGGCGCAAGAATCGCGCCACGTCAAACTTGACGCACCGCTTTTTCACGAAAAACTTGACGCACCACCTTTTTCCGATATATTTGGAAAACGGGAGTTATCTGACGTTCTGATCAAGAATATGGTAGTCGCTTTGGCGCAAATAATAATACACGGCATTCTGGTCGTCCGCACTCTGCTAGCGCTAAATAGCGCGTGTCAGAAAATGAATGCCATTTTTCGTGTTGCCCTCCAATTACCGTCAGTGCAAAATAGAAAAGAAGTTGTTAGGAAATCCGTGGCGTCAAGTTGATGCCGGCACCGAATCGGGCGCATATTCGCAATCAGAACATCAAATAACCCTAACATGCAAGTTTAAATCGTTTCGGGAGAAAAAATGTGGCGAATATAGGCACTAAATGGCGCCGTCACTAAAAACTTATGCCATATGACAGGCCGTTCAGTCAAAGTTTCAGCTAAAAAATTTTGAGTTTTTGAGATAGCACTAGTTGTATTGTGCTCATACCTCTTACAAGGGAATGGTTTGAACTTCCCATGGAACTTTGAATGGAGACCTAGGTACATCGATAGAGCCTCGAATGCTGATTACGAATATGCAGATTAAAAGTGCTACGGGGACCTCCCAGACGAGATCTGGGTGGTCAAAGTTTGCGAAAAGTCAGTTTTGGCTCGTAAGCGCTGCTGATCGATGCTCGGCAGTGCCACCGTGGCCTCGTGGTAATGGTCTCGCTTTCAAGTCAAACGCATGCGGGTTTGCATCCGGTTGGCGCGAAAATTTTTGCTTCGCTCCCTATAAGAGCTTTAACTCTAATTTTCGAAATTCTTCCGAGTTTACGGCCCAGCAGGGCAAGTAGATCAAGTACATCAAGTATATGACGTACTCGATCTAGTATGGATTTGGTCATATCTGCCCTCTCTGAACATATTACCCATCCGACAATTCAAAGTTTTAGCGAGAAATTCGTTCATGGGAGATTTCGACCCCCTGAACACGAATATCACATCCTTCGACGAAAAAACGCTCGTCTGGCCAAATTGCGATTCTGGGCAAAACTTTGAATTGTCGGATGGGTAATATGTTCAGAGAGGGCAGATATGACCAAATCCATACTAGATCGAGTACGTCGTATACTTGATGTACTTGATCTACTTGCCCTGCTGGGCCGTAAATTCGGAAGAATTTTGAAAATTAGAGTAAAGGAAGCGATGCAAAAATCTTTGCGCTAGCGGGATGCAAAACCACAACCACTTGCCTTTGAAACGAGACCATTACCACTTGGCCACGGTGGCACTGCCCACCGATCGATCAGCAGCTTACGAGCCAAAACTGACTTTTCGCAAACTTTGACCACCCAGATCTCGTCTGGGAGGTCCCCGTAGCACTTTTAATCTGCATATTCGTAATCAGCATTCGAGGCTCTATCGATGTACCTCCATTCAAAGTTCCATGGGAAGTTCAAACCATTCCCTTGTTAGCTCTCTCTTTGCCCCCTTGTAGGCCAACACTATGCGGCTCACATATCACCACTCTTTGGATTTGGGCCTGTATAGCAACAATGTCGACGACCTTCTCCCACTGTGGATATCACTTCCCATTCCAGCCGTCTCCAGAAGCTCACGATTACCACCACAAAGTGTACGTCACGAGTTGTTTATTGTCTTCGCGTATCAAGGAGCTGTCGAAACAGCGCAGGAAAACCAAGGGGGGGGGGAACCATTCGGTTGTTCTGATGTAACACTATTTATTCTTTCCATGCAGGAAAGTATTGAATGAATTGACAGCTCGAGCCCAACTCATAATAAAGTTGGGTTCTCATCGGGCGATAGGGCGGCTTCGTCCACGTTGGTAAGGTGGTCCGCCGCGGATGGATAAATGGCTTGATATGCCAATTAAACTGGTTTGTACTGTTTCAGCTTCAAACAGCTGAATTATTCATCGTCCAGCTTCAATGAGGAAAGATCAGTATGTCTTAATGAAGCAAATTTTCATTTTGCATGGATTTAGTCAGTAGCATCGAAGTTAAACGAAGACATTCAGAAAAATTCAAAAAAAATTGGCGAAAGGAGAAGAAAAGTTTTCTAAGGAATGGTCATGCTGAATTAATGCAAAAGTTGATCTAATCTCAGTGAAAATACTCACCCTGGAAGGTTCGTGAAGGCCGAAACTAGAATAATTTCATGGCTTTCACAAGGATGAATATAGGAGAAAAAACGAAGAAATACCGGCAGGAAATGCAGATCTGATTGGTAGCGTTAGCAATTATCGTTCGGAGAGTTCAGTACGAAGAGTAGGTAGTCGCGGCGGCGTGGGTTCAAGACGCAGAGTTATGTAGATAGCGGCAGATACAGTGATGGTGAATGCCAAGTCCTCGCGCCTTCGCCGACGCACGCCTGGAGCCGCTCGCCATGGTCGTAAGGACTGTCCCGCGCCGTCGCGTGAGCACTCCGCATATAGTGCTCTGTTTCCCGTGAAACTTCACTGAAGTTAATCGTTTTCTCTGCAGGTTCAACGAATGCTTTGGTGTACTGGGCGTTCTCGACTACATCCATGATACAGCAAAGACATTCAGAAGGTTTGAAGTCTTTTCTCTTGGCTTGTTTACACTGGTACACTAATATTTATTTCAGTTCGGTCTATTTCAAGAGGCACATCACTTACTTCTCCTTGCAGCCGATCAAAGAAATTTACCCTGATAAATAAGATCTCACGGCAACGATAATAAAGATGGCAAGGTAACTCATTGATTGTATTAGTCGTAAGACTCGTGCTATTTTCTGGGGACGAAAAGCTTCTGGACCAGTATGGCGGCTACACACGAGTGAACTCTTCAATTCAGAATATAACCGATTAAAGACACATGGTAGGCTCAATACATTGAAGGTGTGCGAGACTATCAACCGCCCCAGCTGTCGATATGTGGTGGTTCCCACCCAACTGCACGGGGTCAGTACGGGCCGTGAAAAGTCGGTACTCCATCGCTACCGCCCATATTCGCCAAACTCACGTTTTTACGTAAAGATCGTCGCGCGGGGCGTGTCGGCGTGCAGATCTGCTTGGTTTTTGCAATCTTGTAGATGCGCATTCCGGATACAAGTAAAGCGGGCATTTGTTTATGCGGACACATTTTTAGGTTGCTGCAATATAAGAACGAAGATGATGACGAAGGCTAGACTCAACCGAAGCATGAAATAAAAAAGGCGCTAAGCGTCCGATCGTTAGTTTGAAGTATTTTCATATAGCTTTAGGAGGCGGATTCGAGTCGGATGCGCGAACTGCACCGGATTTTGGATTGGATTTTCATTTCCTATAGTTTTGTATCATTTTGTTTTACTCTATCGTTATTCTTCATTTATAGCCTTTTGTCATATTCATCACCTTCTATTCGGACTTTGAAGCATGAGCAATACCTCAAATGTTAGGGAATTGCGTTTTGCTTGTATTGTCATGTTTTATTGTCATGTTGTCCGTTTTATGGGACTGCGGCTGCCTCTGAGGAATGTTGCAGATCAGGACAGTGTGGCCATCTTGAGTTGTGGTCGCTCGTCGGTCATCTTCGGATCTTTATTTTGCAGCACCTAAAATGTTATCCGCATAAAGAAATTGCGTTTTCACTTATTCCAAAGCGCAATTACAGGACTTGGCAAAAAGCCAAGAGAGCTGCACGCGACGCGCCGCGCGGACGGTGTTAGTAAAAACGTGAGTTTGCGAAACTGGCGGTGTAGCGAGGAGTTACGACTTTTCCACGGCCCCGTACTCTGACCCCGTGCAGTTTTGGGTGGGAGGAAACACACAATCGACAGCTGGGGTTGATAGTCTCGTACACGGCGCTCAATGTGTTTGAGGCGTACCATGCGTCTTTAAGGAGAATTGCAGCGTTTCTCACGGCTGGGAAGTTGCGGTGCTGCTGGGTGAAGGGCATTCAAAGGATCACTTCTGCAAAATGGGACTTGAGTGATTCGAGTGAAGTTGCCGTTCTTTGGATGGGTTGAACGCCGTGAACCGTTCCGCTTTTTTAGCGCTGAGCAGAGTTTTTGTCTTTAACAGTAGTTGCTAGTTTTTTAGCACAATGAAGCTTAATAGCATAGCGCTTGCACTTCCGTATCTTGGCATTTCTCATATAGACGCAATTTTCTTGGTGTCAGATTAGTGCAGGGCCCTTACTGAACCCAGGACACACACAGTGTGAATGAGAGCTCTCCAATTTGAACAGTGAGCGTCAAGTCATCTCGAGGGTACGCCAAAAAATAGGAAGCTGGACGTGCCATCATTCCATACAATTGCGAACGAGGAAAAAAGATAAGCATGGAACCATTAATCCTTTACAAGCAGTCTGGCATACTTCAAATACTTCATATAAAGGCATCCACAAATAGCAAGTCGTGCCACTGACGTTCTTCTCTCCCTCTCCGTACGAGCTATGAAGTACCGCGCTTCTTCACAAATACCCGTGTTGATAGTCGTTAAGAATCCTTGCTAGTAGGCTGAAGCCTGTAGTACTGATCGTCGACTGGGTTATAGTAGCAGTCGAAGTCAGGATCGTAAAGTAAACCACTCAAGCGTTCATCTCGTGAAGCTCCAGACATCTGCGACTTCATCTTCTCATGTCGAAGTCCTGCCAAACGAGCCTCCCTAAACTATCTTTCAATAATCTCAGCTTCTCGCTTCATTTTCGGGTTGCGTCAAAAAATCAACATTCACGCAATCCAGAGGAAAGCGGTGAAGTAAAAATAGCATTGAGAAGAAATCATACCGAAACAAAAAAAATTGAGAATAAATACAAAAACGAAAGTAGATCGATAAAAAACTAATGAAGGTTCCAGTCCTAGGAACACGTGAAAAATATGAAGTGAGGTAAGATATGGACTATGAACAACTCACATATCTCGGACGAAACTACTGCGGGCACCGGCGGACGCAGATCGTTGCTTTGCCTGAGGTTGTACATTTTTACACTTAAAATTAATGAAAATTATAAAATGACAAAATGAGCCATGGCCAGAAGAAAGACGAAACAATTCGCGCACTATGTCGAAAACTGTGCGCATGACAATTCGGGGTGGAAATGTGTGCGTTTCAATCGAAGCTCTTTGTATTTGGATCATCAAAAGACAGCCATTTTCATGACTTTCTTTGTGGTGAAGGAGCGTGCTGGTGAGTTTTTGCACTGTTCTCCTTAGCGGAATAACAATGGTTAGTATAGCAAAAATGCTGAGATATGGGCAAAAGTGGCCCAAGTAGCCTAATAAATAACACGTTCGCGTGTTAAGCAGGAGATGTGGGCTCGAGTCCCGTCCCGAGTCCGAGTTTTGCCCATATCCCAGCATTCCTGCGATAACTTTCGAAGCGCGCACTGCGGCATAAACAGCAGTTATTATAAAATAACAAAAAAAATGGTTAGATATGATGAAAAGGACGCGGTCAACCACTATCCAGCAGCACGTTACCTTAACGAGATATGCGTAGTTGTTTTCCAATTTGTACGGAAGAACTTCTTCGGAATCGGAATGGTCCTCGAACTCGTGTAGGTGAAGCCGGGCAAACTGGTGTGAAGATTTGCTCCTGGGGGAACTGAAAGTTATCGTCATTACGAACTCTTAACTTAATGCGATATAACTGCTTGAGCTCTTCTTTAAATCCGTCCCAATTACAAGTAGAGTGACGTAAAAGAATTTGGAAACTTCTCTTCTCTTTCTAGCGCTACCGGTAGAGAGCTCCCCTTTCATAGGATGACGTCACATGTGTTTAACCGGAGTGATTGCAATATGACAGATTGTTCCAAGGTTTACGCGAGTGTAGAAGACCGTAGATGGTAATGGGGAATATTTTGAATATTTTACTGTTGTGTTTGTTGAGAAAACAAAATTTTTTTCTGAAAAGTCTCATTCCTTTTTCCAGGCTAGTAACAGAGTACGTCGTCGGGATGCGTGGCAGTGCCCGAATGATCCCCTCCACAATCTATCTACCACAATACCAAGCTTCCTCAACACCTTTGCCGTCAATTGAGTGAGTGGGAGGATCAAAAAAAGGTTTTTCGAAGTTAAAGGCTAAGCCCGGATTTTTCGCCATCACAGATAGTAGATAAGGGATGTGCATCAGGCGATAAGGTTCTGAGTAAATCGATAGTAAAGGAAAAGCAGAAAAAACATGCCAACTGTCCTAGATACAGCCCCATTTCGATCTCAGTTTGTACGTGCCCAAATAACCCATGTCCAACACTACACTTGCATACGCACAGCTGATTCCCCGATAAGAACTCTACGACCGTACAAGTGACGATTTCATGCTTTTTCGTCCTGCAGCTTCGTTTTCACTGAAAGGCGGGCCTTGAAGGCGGAGTCTGGAGGCGGAGTCACTGGAAAAAGGAGGCGTCACTGAACCTGTATTGCGCTATAGCGCCCCTCCCTAATTTTGATTGCCGCGAAATCGGTACGATATTGTTCGTGTTCGCCGCGTACCATACTACCATCCCGACGCCATATTTTCAATTTCTATAAATTACCGCGAACCGTGCCTTTAAGTACGTTCTCCCCCACTCTCCAGAGACGAAATGGGGTTCGCATGATGGGAGCGCTCTTTTTTTCGGCTGAAGTTAACGGAATGCATTAGACTATGGCTTCAACAGACATGATCAAAAGCGACGAGCAGCAAGTTCTTGCAGTGGCTATAGAGAGCTTTGGAAACCTGATGACATCAAAGTGAAATTATAAACTGTTTGACAACAAAATAGTGGAACAAACCTCTGCAAGGCTATGCTTTCCAGCATGCTCAACTCATGCTCGTCGTCGCTTGTGAGGGGCACTCGCGACCCTGTAAGAAATTACAGTAGCAGCTGAAGCTTTTCTAGGGATGTCTGATTGGAACAGAACACAGGCTCAACTTAGCGCCTGTTGTATGTACTCTGGTGTTTTGCGTTTCCATGATTTGCAGTTCTAAAAAAATCACCTAAACCAAAGATAAGACTTTTAACACTCCGAAGTCACACTTAGTGAAATGACATTGTATAGTGCTCATGCTGTGCGAATTGTGCAGGTGGCTAGTTCGGCTGGGCGGATTGGCTGTCCAGGGCCAGTATGAGCGTCGTCATGCGTAAAAGCCGGCTCCCGGCCTCTTGCTTTGAAGCGTGCGACAAAACAGGTAGAAAAAATGCGAGTAATACGAACGATATAGTACAGTCATATCACTTGCTCGCTTTAACAACTGGTAGAGACGGGTTTGGTACCGCGCCAAACTCACCCCGCCTGACACGCCCAACCGTCCGTAGCGAACCACACTATATGTAGACTGGGGACGGGGAAAATGTGCCAACCAGATAACTGACGAATGTGTGAGGCAGTTTGGCGCGAGGAGTGGGGGAGGTATTTCGCTTCCCATCGATGTGTCGACCCATCTAGATAGCCTTTCCTTGTTAGAAGCTATAAAATTCCATCGATCAGAGTATTGAACTCTTTTCCATCTACACCCCCTTTTGCACAAAATACAGGAGGGGGGGCAAAAAAAAGACATTTCGACCGAGCACAGTCACAAAGTTTCGGCAAGCCCAGACAGAGGATCGTGATACGAACGCATCAACCTCCAGTCGGAAGATACCAGAGATGTTCCCTTAAAACAGGAGTTGGCTCTCGCCACCTTTCATGTACGCGCCAAAATATGAGTCAACTCCAGCTCAACCTGATCTGACCAAGGACGTTCGACATTTGCATGTCACCCGAGCAGCTGCGAAACTTCTAGCATGGAGTCGCCCATATATAGCTAGCTGGAGAGCAGTACTCTCGATCTGGAAGACATCCATCATCGAGCAGCTCCGTCAACGTCGCTACGGTCTAGGACATCATCTTCCACGGCTCAGTCCTCCGCCAGGCGCGGATTGATGGTGGCACTAGCCCTACCATCAACTGGCGCCTTGGCGACTTGAGGTGAAGATGATGGCTGGACTGGACGTACCTGGAATGGAGAGACCGATATTTTCTTCGTGGGCCCCGGACTGAAGGTGAGCGCTGGCGGTTACATCGAGCAACTCGAGAAGAATATCCTCTCCACATGTCGTCGCCCGTACCTTCTTGGAAACTTTGTACTGCTACAGGATTGGGTGACACCCACATGGAATCAAAGAGCGTTGGGGAAAGTCTTGCCTACTTGGAATGGAAGGGCGTTGAGTACCTGAAGAAGGTGGAATATCTAAGCAGGTCACCTGGCCTAAATCCCCTCAATTACCTGGTTCGAGCGGAGTTCAATAGGGTGGTCTACAGGCGGAGAAATCAACGATCTCGCTGAACTCACGCACCCACTGACAGTCGCGTGGCAGAATCTCGATGGCGCTCCTCCTAAAGGCTGTGGCGGAGTATCATGATAGTGTTTAATGTGCTCTTTAATATGGTGGCAGAAATCTCCGATAAGAATTCAATAAAGTGCAACTTATAGCGCCACGAGCCTAGTCGAGGGAAAAAAAGTCTTTTTTTCGCCCCCCCCCCTGTATGCATGCCAATTCAAATCGCAATTGTGTGTGTGTATGTGTGTGTGTCACGAAATTCATAGCACCTAAAGAAGAACTTGAGGGGTCGGTCATGTAGCATAATGCGAGGTGCGGTCGGGTCATGATAGCAATGCGTAGGGCATGGGGCAATATGTAAATAGCACCCGTGACCCATGGTAAGCCCCGCCCACAGTGGGCGGGGCGTGCGCCGAAAGTTAGCGATGTCACTGAAAAATCATAACTCGGTTCCAGAGCAGTCCCGAGATGGGGAACAGTGCAGTAAAGGTAACGAAGGGCTGGCAGACCTAAGAGAGGAGACACACCTGGAATGGGCGAGCGTACTTGAGATGAGTGGTGCTTGCACAAAGGTCGATAACTCGGTTCCCGAAAATGTTTAGAGATCGCAGAAAAGTCCATGACGAAGATGAACATCTGTCAAGAGTCCACCATGTTTGCGGCGTGCTGAGGACCGCTCACAGTAGGCGAAGCGTGCCTTTGAACACGAGGTACCAGTTTAAGGAATCGTAGTTCGGTGCTAGAGCACTACAGTCAGCGCAAAAAAGGGGATTATGGTGCTCAGGTGATCACATGTTGAGTTGTGTGAGGCACTCCCGTTGTGGGCGGAGCCTGCGGCGAGGTGGGTGGATATGTTTACATATGTAAACATGTCTTACATGTGTAAGCATATGTTACACATGCTTACACATGTAACATGTGTGAACATATGTAAACATGTGTAAACATATGTTTACACATGTAACATATGTAAACATATGTAAACATGTGTAAACATATGTTTACACATGTAACATGTGTAAACATATGTAAACATATGTTTACATGTGTAACTTATGTAAACATATGTTTACATATGTTTACATGTGTAAAATATGTAAACATGTGTTTACATATGTACATGTGTAAA